ATTGGCATGGATCATTTTATGTTTTCCTCCTTTGAAAAGATATGGGCATCTTGGTTGAGTGCCAGTGGGCAGCAAATGTGCCCAGCACTGCCTAGGAATAAGGAGCATTAAGGACTAAGGGAAGTTATTACTCCCTTCACTTTGCACTTGTTAGTCTGCAACTGGAATCCAGTTTAAGTTCCCTAGTAAACACAAATGTTGATAAGCTGGAACAAGTACAGTGGAAGGCCACTGAGACGATGATGAGAAGAAACAGCTGAAGGAACAAGTTTTGCTTAGCTTCTTCCTCCAAATTCTTCTCTTCTCTAGGCTAACAAGAGCCTTCTTTTACCTATGAGGAAATCATTAACAGGATAGAACTGAGCTCTTTGTAGTGACGCCCTGCAGGAGAACGGGAGACACAAAGTGAAAAGAAAGATTCTGACTGGTTAAGGAAAAAAAAAACTTTAAGCCAACCTTCAAGTTGGGCAGGGCAGCAGATCGTCCAGATGGACTGTGCCATCTCTGTTCTTTAACATTTTCAAGACCCCACTGGATAAAACCCTGATCAACATGGTCTGATCTGATGGCTCACCTTGTTTTGAGCAAAAGATTGAATGAGAGACATCCTGAGGTACATTCCAACCTGAAAGCCTTGGAACCTATGAAAAACAAGCGTCTGCTTCAGGGAGCAATGCTTTCATCAGGCTGTTAAAAGCTACTGTTCGTGGCTGGCAATTATTCAAAGTCAAAGATAATGACATATACTTCAAGTTGTTATCAGCTGGCATACGTTATTCTCTTAGGTAGTGCCTCTCTCAGTAATACGACAAGCCTTAGGACATAAAAGCAAATCAGGAACTCATAGTATGTGTGAAAAATTGGCTCCTAGCAATCAAGTGCAAAATGCACATTCACATTTGGTTGGAGTGTTTTGTTGCAGCTGAAATAGCTTCTTTGTGCACTTGTTTCATGTTTGTTTATTTTAAAAACTGCCACATATTATAGCTGGCATTCAAATATAAGGGCCTAGAATTGGTTTCTAAATTCTTTTTATAATTCGAATTGTTGAACATCGGATAGTTTTCATTTAGAAATCAAGAAATGTATTAGCATGCCCAAATACAGTTCTAAAGGTCAAGTATCACCTTGACATCTACCATTGGAGCATAGCAGTAGGCCACATAACTGCAGTTCAAAACAAAATATGGATGTTCTTAGTTACAACAGTATCTCCATCCTGTAAAACCTGTACAGGTAGAACAGGCCTGAGATCGTCCCACCATTGATTCAATAGTTTTTTTCTTTTTTCCCCTTCCAGTTACATTAAAGAGATCTACCAAGAAAATACAGGATGATTTCTTGATCAGTGTCCTTAGCCACTTAAATCTGATTTTAAACCTTGATAGAACAGTTCTATATTGATTTTACTTTTCTGAATAAGGCTGCATGGATGCATAGCAACTGACATGGCTAAAATTTTCATAATCTTCCTGAAGAAGGATGTTAGAAGTCATTAATCTTTAACTGGTTGTGTTTCTCTGCCCTTTTTAACCTGCAGAACTAATGTTACTTTTGCACTTAAAATCGTATTTACAAAAAATAAAGAAAACATAGCAGGAGTTATAAGTGACAGAACTCTTTATGCAATTGGTTATTTGATTAGGAGGGTAAAAGCAGGGCAACCAGTGAGACAGCACTCTTAGAACATAGCAACAGGAGAAGCAAAGAGTCAGGATTATGGTTCTACAAGAAAGGCGTAGCTGCTATGATCCTAGGGTCTGAATCCAAGCAGTGTCTATGGTAAAGGGAAAAAATTCTCCAGAAGCTAAGAAGGTAACTGATGCATGACAAGGTCCTACTGTTATTTCTGGCAAATGTGGGCTGTGATCCTTCGTGCTGTGATGGCTGCCACGTAGCTCTGTACTGCTCTGCACTGAGGCAGGAGCTGTGTTCATTCCAAACTCCCTTGTTTCTCATATCCTATGCTCTGCAAGGACTCAGTGCTTCTTGTTTTTACATGAAGGAAACATCTTTTCTGAAATGACGTTGTTCCCCAAGGAAAAAAAAAAAATCTACCTGTTCACCCAGGGCTCTGTTTAGCATGTAACAGTAGAAGAGTACTGCAATGGGAAAGTTGCTCATGATAGATTGATTCTGCTGTTTCAACTATTTCTTGTTGTCCTTTCTGTGGGGTTATCCTTGTTTGATCCGTAATTAGCCAGGAAAGTTAGCTGATCTTTGAACTTTGGTTAATTCAAGTTTTCCTTATATGTAAATTAAGCTTAAGTTACTGACAAAAGAAAATTCGTACCTAATTGTTGTGGTAATACAAATTGATGGTGAATGTCAAAGAAAACCGTGGTGTGGTTGAATTGTAATTCCACAACTAAAGAATGAACAGAAGTGGGTGAGAGTGAATTACAAAGCAATATACTCTGCTCATTTACTTGTAACCCTTATTCGGGTTTCACTATGATTCCCAGCTTTAATAAGATAAGCAAAATGTGATGTAATATTGATCTTACATTACTATAAGTATATATGCGTTGTTTAATTTGTCACTTATTAAAAATATCTCCTATTCATAAGGAAAATCACTGTAAGACAAGATATCCCTATTTTCTTGATACATTCTTTTCAAATACAACTTTTGTCTCATTTTAGTTTCAACCGGCATTCTTCCACCTCCATCAGCTACCAGTCAAAGAGGTATAAAAAACGTTTTGTGCAGCTACTGTACCTTAAAAGCACTTAACAACCCAGTTTATTGCTGCATCCAGCGAAGTATTAACATGAAAATCCTTACTTTCTTGAAACTAATAGTTTTCAGAGCCAGTATTTAATTCGTTGCCTCTCACATGCCATTGGCTGCTACAGATAAATCCAGTAAGGGTGCTTTCACTGCTTTAGGTATGCTGTTGCTTCTTGTTACATTACAGCATCTTCAGCACTTAGGACATCTTTTTTTTTCATTCTTTCCTTCTTCCTTCCTTTCTTTCCATTTTTTTTTCTTTTTTTTCTTTAATGATAACTCTATTTCCTTTTCTTCAGCAGAAATGATATCTGATAAATCTTTTAACTGCACTAAAACCTGTAATGATGTATCGTAACACTTCATTTCTCTCTGACAAGCCTTTTTATCTTCCTTACTGTATTTAATATTCATCATACATTCGCAATAGATTTTAGTAATTGACTTCTAATTTTGTCATTAACTTGATACAATGAATTGAATTCTTTTCAGCATTTTCTTTGTCTTTTTGACTTAATTTCCCTACACGTACAAGGAATCTGGTAGCATGGTTTTATCACGCTCTTAACTTTAAAAAAACTTGAATTTTTAATAACCGTTTCTCTTCAAGGCAGTTAAAGTATCACTAATCTGGCTCAGAATTTCTTTGTGTTTTGTGTGTTAAGAAACATTGAAATGACTCTTGCCGTCAGTGAAACTGCGCATCTGGGAGGCTTTCTTGTATGTGAATTGTTTTCAGATTAAGTCTGTATGACGTACACAGTTTAAAAACTTTCTATTCACGTAGTAAATATTGATCACTGATCCTGGAAAGGTAAGCATTCTTACTGGTTTTCTGTGTGGTTTACCTTGAACAGTCGATTTTAAAACAATGAAAAAATCTTCAGATATTGCACATTCAGCTAAAGATGTTCTGCAAGTCCCTGAAGTATAACTCTTCCTGTCTGTGCTACGGTGGAAGCAATGATTCTCTGTCCAGTGACCCCATGTAGAATGTGTTCTTATGCATCATAGGTGCAGAGGTAGATGTTAGGAATGGAAAGTTGAAAAGTATACTGTGCTTTGGTGGTTATGAAATCATGGTACAGTTCACAACAGAATTTACAGTGAATACAAACTCACTGGAACAGCTTATCTTGGAGAGCCTCTTGGTCCCTAATAGACCCAAATCCAGCCCTAACTCCTACATTGGGTGTAGAAATAACTAGCTACAATCATTATAGCCACAGCAATGTTTCTAGGACTAAGTAGACAAAGTAAATTATCCTGAGGCAGCAGCGCTTTGCAGGCTAGATCTTGTGTAAGTAATGTCAGAGTAGCAAAAGGCTGGATTGCCAAGATAAGTTTATTTTGTTAAAAATTAAAAATCATATCAAAAGTTTACATTTGTGAGAATGTTTTCTACCACCACTGGAAAGAATTTGCTGGTTTTGTCAGAGGTAAAAATTGTAACATGCTCTTCAGATAGGATCTACTTCTATTGTCAGAGAAAGAACGAGCCACAATGGATCGTGATCTTGCAGATTAGGACGTCTTTTCTTATGCTTACAAAGTGTCTCTTATAGACAAAGTCAACATAAAACTAACTCCTAAAATCTCAGCACAAGTTGGTAGATATCTGGCTCATTGAGTTAGCAAAACTGAAAGAGTAATTCTGTTATTGAGATGAGGTAAAAAGATAATTGAACACTGAACATTTTTATTACTGCAGACATCTCAGTATTTGTTACTTCCTTTCTCTGGACTTCTTTAAATCGTTCCTTCTTGCTTGCTTTGTTTGTCATGCTCTTTTAGGAGTCTGTGAAGCAAAGTTACTACAGACAGAATCATCTTAAGTAACGGGCAAGTAGAAGAGGCATATACTTCCACATGTTACTATAATCAAACACAGAATAACCATCTAAGCCATAAAATGGAGAAAAAAATATTCTTGATTGATGCTTGGAACCCTGAGCAAAAGTTTTTAATCTAGGAATGCAGAAATGACATAATAGTACTTCATGTCATGTATTTTTCAGTTGCTGAGTCCAAACATCAGAAAAAAATATCATAAATTATGATCTCTAAATTCAATGCTATTTTTCTTTCTAAGGAACTTTCAAGCCTCTCTTAGCAATGATAATGATTAGTGAATCTCACTGTATTCTCTCTCTAGCTCTCACAGACAGTTCTTCTGGGGTACTTTGGAAGCATCCAAATCTCTTCCTTTTGCACCCAATAACTTTGGCTGTTTATAAAGTTGCTGATACCTTTGTTTTGTTTTTAGAAACACAAGCCAGTCATATACACCAGTGCCAGCTTCTGCAAGCTATGGTGAAAGTCCTGCTGCTTCTGCTGCTTCAAAACCAAGAGTCGTCACTACTGCTAGCATTAAGCCCTCTGTCTATCAGCCAGGTAAGGAGATTCCCAAATACAGGAATGCACAGGCATTACTTTTAGAAAAATAATATGTACATTTTGCTATAGGACACGTGTTTTATCAGGAAATTTATATACACAGAACCAACTGAACTGACAGTGTTGTTTTAGGAGTCTGTGAAGCAAAATTACTACAGACAGAATCATCTTAAGTAATGGGCAAGTAGAAGAGGCATATACTTCCACATGTTACTATAATCAAACACAGAATAACCACCTAAGCCATAAAATGGAGAAAAAAATATTCTTGATTGATGCTTGGAACCCTGAGCAAAAGTTTTTAATCTAGGAATGCAGAAATCACAGGGTAGTATTCAAGGATCAAGGACTTTGTTGTATTTGTATTAGTGAAAATGTGGAACAAATGGAGGAGGAAGAAGATAAGCAAGGGAGCAGTCTGTAAAAATGATGTATAGCCTAATTTCTCCAAGTCAATGCATTTGCAAAATAGCCCAGTACACCCATTTAGGATCCTCAGAGCACTTCCTAGTTGATAGAATAGCTTGAGAAAGCATGCCTTAGGATGGAAACAAAATAAGTGAAGTAGGATATTTGCAAAATAGAAAAAAACACATAATGAATTTCTAAAATTCAGGCTTGTATTTGGATTAAAGAATGACTTCTTAAAGTACTTAGTAATACTATGCTTCTACTTCCTACTGATCCAATTACTGAAGAAATATATTTAATTATTCATTTAGATGGAAAATATACTCCTTGATGCTATTTAAATCCTGTCTGTATTAATATGTTACAAATGGAGTCAACTTCTAAAACTAGCGATGACCAAAATGAGCAAATTAAATGTTTAGCAATCGAATTCTAAATGCAATTCTGTTTCAAATTAAGTTTTCTGTTCTTAGCAAGGTAACTAAAATGCTGATGTTTATTCTGACAGTCAAGTATATATGAAAAGCTCAACAATTCTGACAGTCTTAAGCTCATTCTTTTCTGCAGTGCTTTATTTCTGGATCTGCTGCAATGAAACTGATTCAGAAATTCTACTTACATCAGTCTGTCTGCTTTATATCTATCTTTGTATTTGAGATATAAAGGTGGAAAAAAAGTCAGTTCAGAGCTTTAATAAACTGCTTAGGGATCTCAGGGTCAAACAAGGTTTCACTTTCTCCTCATTTGATTTTGGTTAGGTGAGTCAGCACATACTGTGTTCTCAGTCAAATATTTCCGTCTTGCAAAAGAGGGAAAGATGAGAACAGAGGATTTATTTCCATAATGCAGATTAGAGCAAGCTGTAGAAAGTGAAAGTATCTTCAAAAAAAAACTGATTAGTACAGAATACCATGCTCATTTGGGGGCAGTGAAAACTCTACTTTACACAGACTGCAGCAGACATAAACCATATCTGTTAGGGAAGAAGCTGGCTGTTTAATTCAGCTCAGAGTAAGAGGCACAACTTCTACTTTCTGTGATAGGCATCTTTGCAATTCCTTATATTGCTGGTTTTTGAGCCCCATTGCCTCAATATGGCAAGTTTAGAAAGTGCAGTATGAAAAATATGTTCTATGTCACTGTGTAGACAGCAAAATCATTTCAAATTGAAGCTTTGCCTGCCTGCATGTGGGAAATTCTTCTTTTGTAGGTAATGAAAGGATATAATGTATTCCAGAGGACATGAGAAAATTTGCAATCATACAAATGTAATACTACAAATGCAAATAGCATTAAAGTTCGCAGAGAGAAAAACAGTAAGTCTTTCTGTTCTATTGAGGAGTTTAAACTAGAACAGAATAGTACCATTGGAAGGTACCTACAAAGATGATCAGATCCAACTACCTGGTGGTTTCAGAGATAAGCAAAAGTGAAAGCTAATTATTGGTGCTCAACGCCTCTGTGACAAGCACAGGGCATCAACCACCTCAGTAGGAAGCCTGTTCCACTGTTCTACTACCCTCAAAGCAAAGGAGTTTTTCCTGATCTCCACTCTGCCCCTCCTGTGGCACAGCATTGTGCTGTTCCTGCCTGTCCTGTCATCAGTTACCAGAGAAGAGACCAGCACCTCCTCCTGTGCTTCCCCTCCTCAGGAAGTTGCAGAGAGAAATTTGAGAATAAATAGAAGTTTTAAAATAAAGAATTCTAAAATACCTCTCTAATTAAACCCCAGAGTGACTCAGGTACATGAGGTTTAACAGAAAGACATTTTATTGTAGGCTATTGGTTTTTGTTTGGTACCTTTTTCAAGTATTCTTCATTTAGTGTTGTAGCACTTTAATTGGAACATGACCCTGGCTTTTAAAGACAGATGCAGCTGTAAGCAAACAGAAAATTGCTGCTTGGGAAGAAATGGAGGAAGAAACATTTCCTGTCACTGATAGATCCTGTCTACCAAGAAAGTAGTTAGGAAAGCTCCTCATCCAACTTTGCCAATGCATATAAATTCTGCCCTGCAGTGTAAAATGCAACCTTAATCTGAAAAGATCAACTATTCTGGAAGGATGAAATAAGGGACCACAACATTCACCTTTTTCCTTCAAGTGCAACCTCGGGCCTTAGCAGTAACTGTACTCTAACCAATAAACTTTAGATTTCTGTTTCTGTAAATCCACTGCATGAAAAGGCTGAAATAATGAATACAATGAAGGATTTGCAGTGGAGAATTTAGCAAAGGAATTCCCTTAAGCTATCAGTCCGTGTTAACAGGAATAGGATGCCTTACTTCCTCTAAAATTCCATGCTAGCAATTTTCGGATTAAAACATACAGCCCCATATGTGCAACATCCAGAAACAAACATCAGCCACTTAAGAAGGTCTACGAGACTATTTTAATCTGGATCATATTGAAAAGTAATGGGGTTAAATCTTGTTTACACTGAAACTAATCTCACAGTGAAACTGCATTGCTGAGTATGTAGCTCAGATGTGAGTAAATGTGTAAGTCTATGCTTTAAAGGAAGGAGAAGAACTGCTAGGGCTTTTCTGCTGTCAAAAATCTTTGTTTCCGTTGTTCCTACATGGAGATCTTTACCCACTTCTGTCCCACGCATTACATAAGGTGCTTTTAAGAGGCACGTAGACGTATTTTCTAAACATGGTCCACTAGATGGCAGGAAATGCTCGCATCTCTCCTTCTTGTACTTTCCAGACTACAATGGTGCTTTCATGTATTTCAAGCAACCCAAATGCCAGCTTTATACTACATAGTAACACAATACTTAAAAACAAGAAAGGAGATCTTCCCTTTTAAATCTGTAAGCCCAAAAAGGACTACTCAGATATGCAAAATGGCTCAAATGGGAAGCCTTGATCCGTTCTTTTAGAAATCAGAAAGATTCCCACAGATCTCAACAAACTTTTCACTAATGCTTTAACACATTCAGGACTAGAATAGCAGGTTATGTATATTCTTATTTCTTTTTAAATTCTTCTGAATAAGAGTAGTGTCATCTTCTGGAGGACCTGTTGCATTATCTGCTTTGTCTGTCTTTTATTATGCATTTGAACAGCATACATGAATATTTGGGGCTTCAAGAATGTGGCTGCTGTATGTAGAACAAGCCAAACCATTTGTGATTATGAACTGCATTTGTTATTGGAAAACTATTACTAAAATACTAAAATTTGTGTTCCACTAACAAAACAAAACACACACACACACAAAAATTGTTTTCACAGGTTAGTTTGTAAGGCTGAAGCATTTGAGACTATGTGAATTTATATATTACTACATGAATCTTTGAAAACATACTTTTTTTTTTCTGGAGGAAGAATATCCATTGGCAGTAAACAAAGAGCTGATGAGAATTCCAAATTCCTCAGATGCACGGGATCAGCTCGTTCCTCAGTTGTTAAAAGACCTCTTCTTCTCCTTCCATTCTCTTCACATAACAGTAGTCCCATTGTTTCTCTCCTACTAGCAGAGAATCTGAAGGCTGAGAAACAAGGTGATAGAGGTTGAGTTACTGAATTATTTCAAGTATTCACTGCTGAACAGGTAAAGGTTAGCTGATGCAACGCACAGCAAACAGCACCTTTTATTTGCTGTATTAATGTTGAAAGATTTTGAAATATATAAACATGCAAGGTAAATTTGCATGGTGGTACCTGCTAAAAAAAAAAAAAAAGAGCTGTTCATGTAAGTTTAAGGAATATAGCTGTAAGATAGAAAGTAATTTTAATAACAATTACTAATATCTCACTGTTAATGAAACAGGTGTAACGCATTGCAATGATGGTATTTTAGACCTACAGTAATTCCAACCTCTTCACACGGTAATAAATCCAGCTTTTAAAATTAAATGATAATGGCTGAAATGTTAGTTAAGTATGGAGAAATCAGAGCAGTTGTGAACACCCGGTATTTGTCATTCTGCAGTAATTCCCTTGGTATCTTCTTTAAGCAACTGAAAATGAAGGATTTAGTTGCTGGAAAGGGAGAAAAAGAAGAAATAGAAGAAGGGATGGGCCCTTTTTATTCTCTATACCAAGTGTTAATCCTTCAAAGGAGTCTAGACTACTCTGAACCCAGATAAATCATATGCTGTCTACGTTGATCAGAATAAACAGGAAAAATAAAACAGTGACATTATGAGATTAACAGGCAAAAAAAAAAAGCGGAAAACAAAGAGCTCCTAATTTACTGAAGACAATCATTTAAAAAAAATATATCCTAAAAACATTAACTGTATTCATTGTTTGCTTTTGGATCCCTGGGTTTGAATATCTGGCCATTTTGTTAGGTCCTTTGTGGTATGCGTTGCCTTACTTTGCATGAACAAGAACTGGCCGTGGGGGAGGGAGAATCCTTCCACAAAACTGAGTGAGCTAAAAGTCACCTTATTTAATTACAGAGTCTCATAGGTGGGAGCCTTTTGAACTCACCAATTAGAGATGAAATATTGCCTTCTAATTTTGCCTAGCTTAATACCATAATACATAAATAGCAACAGCCCCGGGGTCTAAAGGGATTGGATACAAACTCTGTTCAGAAATCTTTAAACAATGTTTACCATTCCCAGGAGAAAAAAAAAAAAAAAAAAGAAGCCTCAAGCTAAGGTGGGATATTCAGTTTTATGAAGGAGAAAACTTGATGCTGAAGAATAAAAAAGTTTTATCAAGAAGATGGGTTAGAAACTCTGAGCTCAGTAAAAAGAATAGAATCAGAGCTGACTGAGCTCAGTAGATGGATACATACGCAATTTACACACCCACACTGAGAATAATAATCCATGTATGTTATCCTGTGTGGCAGTGTGAGCTGAGGGAGGAGTGGAGTGTTAAGTAAAATATAATCTTATCACCACTTCATTATCCTGAGATATTTGTGTCATATTCTAAACCTCTCCTTGCTTGAAATACCTTTCTACCTGAAAGCCCCTTACAGCCACAAATGGTGTATTTGCTCATCATTTTTTTGGCACCGTGAGCTGCTATGCAGTGTGTTTGCTTTGAGTACAGGAGACTTGGCTTCTGTTCCAAATCTGCGCTCTCTGGTTTGGGCAGAACACTTCAACTCTCCAAGCTTTTACTCCTTTTCACACATACTGACAATCCCTCACTTGTTTTCTTTGCAAAGGAAAAGCTGCTTTTAGTACTCCTGTACTTGGCAAAGCGAGGCAGTTTCTTAGGCAATAGCTGCAGTCCTGCACTGTGCCAGATCTGGCGTTTTGAAAAGAGCAAGGCAGTGGGAAAACATCTCAGTACGAACAGGCTGTAGCTTCTGCTTGTTTTCATGTGATAAAGCTCCACCCAAGATTAAAGCCTGATACATGCTAACAGGCACAGTCTCTGCGCAGGCGATTTTATGTAAGGTGGGAGAAAGGAAGTATAGCATTTCTGTTGTATAGATGGGGACTGAGGCTCAGAGATACTACAACTCGCTCAAAGTTTATACAGGAAGTCTGTGGCAGAGCCAAGAGCAGTACTTAAGATCAGTCACAACCGCAAGTCTGGCCTTCCTCTGAGTGCTGCTGCCTTTGTTTTGCTGGTCATGTGAGCTGAACTGGCTCCTTCAGTGTTGCTTACAGTGCTCTCTATCTCTGTGTTCTCTGTGTGAGCCTATTTTTTGTCTGAAACCTACGAGTCTAACGTTCTACAAGTGGTGAACAGTACTGACGTCTGTGGAAAGCACCTCATTGTAATCAATGTAATGAAATTTCAAGCAGAACTCCGTATTGAAATTGTGGGGAATTCTGTCTAAAACTTCATTACGCAATCTGGCCTTTCTATTTATAACCTGCCTTAAAACAGATTACGTGGCAGCTTTTCAAATTATCCCAGAACTGTCATCTCCATTTCTACTGGAAAAATGAAGAGAGATCCTTGAGAATGGTCTCCATAAGGTCCTTACAAGCCAGCAGGCAATGTTCTCTGTAACGCACGTAGATTAAAAGCCAACGATTGTGCTGAAATCCTTGGCTTCGGTCCAGAATTAATGAATGATAATAAGACAGGCCGTAACAAATTGTCCTCTGAAGCTTTGGTTGTTGTTTTGCTATCGGAAGAAAAGACTTAAAAATCCTTCTTGGTTTCTTTTGGCATACTTTAAACAGCACCTGCACCAGCTCATTCCTACACCCCTGCCAACACGGAGCCGGCAAGCCGTCCTCCCTGGGTAACAGATGAGTCATTTTCCCAGAAGTTTGCACCTGGAAAAACCACCACCACTGTCACAAAGAACATCCTTCCGAGGGGTGCTCCAGTACCACCTCCTGCCTCTAAATCTGCATACCCGTCTCCAGTTTCAGCTTCTCCCCTGGCTCCTGCAATAGCCCGAGGAACAATTCAGAGGGCTGAGCGTTTTCCAGCCAGCAACCGAACTCCTCTCTGTGGGCACTGTAACAGCATAATTCGGTAAGGTCACGAGGTTTTGAAGAGGGATGAGGCAGAAAAGACAATATAGCAGGGAGACTGTTTTTTATACATTAATATACAGTGCCAGAGCCTAAGCCTCAGTGAAATTACTCAGCAGGGTTGTCTGTTATCTGCTTCGTTAATTTAACATTTCCAGAGCTCATTTTGCTATGGTGCAGTTCACTTGTTCTCACTGTGAAGTTATACATGCTAATTGTTTGTTTCATGGAGGCTGTGGCAAATCACTGTTTTTGTTTAACAAGTTTCTGGTCCCTGAAGTACCCCTTCAAGGAGGTATATACACCGCTGCATTGCAAGGGTTGGGAGCCAGTAGAAGGATGATAGAAAAGGAACAAGACATCATTTTGGAACAGCAGCCAGATGTAATTGTTGCTTTTGTGTCTGGAAAGATAATGCCCACACTCTATTATCAGTGATTCATTGCATGCCTCTCCCTTCTCTCCCAGTTCATTCTGCTGGATTGGTGCCCAGTGTAACTCTCTGGACTGCTAACCAACTTGAAGTAATCCACATTTAATGACAGTCTCATCCACTAAAAGGAGCTAGTTTGGTGAAGTGGAACTACTGCTCGTCAGCCTTTATATATTCTGAAACAGAAAGATTCCAGTAATAAAATAATTAAATTCTGATCGCTGCGTCTAATTACAATCAAGAGTAAATCACCAAAACCAATCTGTGTCATCCATATAATCAAGCAGCAGCTTTTTGTCTGATATACTAACGTTTCTACAATGTGCAGCATTGTAGCATTCTCTCAAAAGAAAATAAGGCAGGATATTGGGTGTATGTGGGTAGGTTTGGAAATTGGCCTGCTTTTCTGTGATTTCAAATAGTAGATTTACAAGCTTTGGTCTTTTTGTATTGTCTTTCCAGCTGGTCACAAAGATCACTTATAGCTATGCAGATATGAAAACCATAGATGATTTTTCTGTCAGCTGTTTGTAAATGCAATATATGTGTCTAAACAATGAAATACTTTAAACAGTTGGCAAAGCGTTTTAGTAATAATCTTTAAAAAGACTCTTTCTGCTCAGGTTTCTGGATCTTATTTTAGTATGCACCTTCATAATTTGAATGGAATGCCTGTTATACATGGATGCAGCATCTAGCAAAACGGGTTTGTAATCGGGGTCACTCAGTATCTTTGTAATAAAAAATATCTTTGTTCACAGGGGTCCTTTCCTAGTAGCCATGGGTCGCTCTTGGCACCCAGAGGAATTCAACTGTGCTTACTGCAAGACATCCTTGGCTGATATGTGCTTTGTGGAAGAGCAGAATAGCGTGTACTGTGAGCGCTGTTATGAGCAGTTCTTTGCACCAACCTGCTCCAGATGCCACACTAAGATCATGGGGGTAAGAAAGAGAACCATTCCTTCACCTATACGTGGTCCACTGAAATTAGAAATAATTTAAACTGTAAGCAATGATTGTAGTTATTTTATTATTTCCTCCCTTTTTGATAATACTTCCTTAGCCTGCTGATAATTTTGAAACAAGAAACGCATTATTTTATAATAATCACTAGGTAACCAAAATCTTGGCTATTCCTGTGCTTTATCCAACTAGATAGAATAAGTAATCCAATTATCATCTCTCCGTGTAAAACTCATTACACTTTCTGGGTAGTTCTCTGTTATCAAACACTCAGGATGTTTATCTTATCTATCTTTTCCTTGTCTTTATGCAAGGGAGACTTGAACTGGAACGTTTTAATATTTGACTTAATCTAAAGTTCCATGGAGAAGACTGATCTTCGATGGGCTAAATGCTCCTGCTGCACTTCACTGTTAGCTAGCAGCACAGCTGCTGAGAGGAATGCTGATGATTTCTTACTGTTAAAACAAACAAACAAACAAAACTGAGTAAATAAAATGATCTGACTTGAAGAAAGACAAAAATAGATGCTAACTTATTAAAATAGATGCCTAGATACAAGTAAATATGTTCCATGCATACCTTAGATAATAATGGGGCTTGAATACAGTAAGATACTAGCAGTTTATTTATGCATGCAATTACAGTGCATATACACTATGATTCTCCTACCGAGGAAGAAAGAAGTACCACATCAGTTTCGACTGCTTAGCTGTCATCTTTTGACATCTGTCTGAATGTTGGCATGGACTGAGAAGATGTTTCACTCTGCTATTGCTGATTAGGGGTGGCGGCATCAGATGCTTATGGTGGAGCTCTGGCTCTGCAGCAGTAGGAGTAATTTTACAGCAGCGTACTGACTTACCTAATTAATGTTGGCACAGATCAGTCCATCATTATGGATTTTCATCAGGAAAATAGCAAAGATGCCAGCTGCCTCTATTTATATTAATAAGATTTCTCTATCTGTTCTTTACTTCTTAGCTCAGTGAGGTTCATAAATGGATCCAAGCCTATTTATCGGTGATAACTGTTTTGCAAACAGTAACAGAAGTTAATGAAACTCAATGGTGGTATTCTATATGGAAAGCATAAATTAGACTATTTTGATTTAAAGCATGGAAATGGCTTTCAGTCTCTTATTTTAGTCAGCGGAAATAAATGTTTCAAAGAATCAGAATCTATGTATTTAATCAGTAACACTGTAAAATAGAATCCAGATTCTCAGCTGCTTTAATCACTGTTAAACTGAAGTTAACCAAGCTAAATTACTCCAGTTAAGCCTCTGGCCCTTTGACAGTTTGACAGAGATACACTGTCAAACATTGACACAAGATTGACAAATTAGTAGGTACTTAATTATACATAGAAGACACTAGGGCAGCTTTTGGACTTGCAGAACTTACGTATGCCAAGATAAGAATGAATAGAGATCGCTCCATACTGGACAGAAGAAAGAACATGATAAAATCTGGTTATTCCTATTTCCTGTGCCATCCATTTCTTGGTATTGGATAAGATTTTATGTGGCTATACACACAGTTAAAGAACTGCTAAGGGTTAAGGTAGCCTGCCAAAGAAAGGTCAGTTCCTTGGTTTTGTCCTGTAAACACTTGTTCATGAACACAGGTGGCTATGTAGGAGAGGAAGAAACAATTGAGAATGGTGGGAGTTTAAAGACAGCTCAGTTTGGTGCCAGAAACTTAGGAGCTTTACAGTGCTTGTGATTATACAAAGCATGGATCGCAAGCATGTTTAAAAAATGCTACCTGTACACTGTCAAGCTTCTCTTCTGTAAAGAGCACGTGCAGAATTTGCTTTTTTGTGACGAACACATGGCCTAGGAACAGATGCACAGACTCATTTTGACTAATCACATAAGTCATAATCCAGTAACTTTCTAAAAAATGACGTTTGTAAAGAGTTCTTGTGAGAAGCTTGAAGAAATGAGTACATAATCTAAGCTGCTTTGAAAACATCAGACTAAATCATTTATCCCCTTTGTGCATTTCTTGGTCTTAGAGATGAAATTGCTCTTCTAAGTTTAAATAACAAATCATACGCTTGCATTGAAGAGTTCATAATGTCAGAAAAAAAAGGAGAAAAAAAAAAAGTCTGAATCTTTGTGCAGAATCTCCTGTGCAACAGCAACTGGGCATGTTGATACAAACAGCTGGCTGAACTATGTTGTTTCATTTTGGCAAATGCGTTACTCTAGAAATTTTGCAGTACTTGTACTTCTCTCTTTCCAGCGGAGCTTAGTTTCTGTTATACTTCTTTCTTTTGAGGAAAGGAACTGCCTGAAACAAAAGTGAAAAGTTTTGAGCATCTCTGCCTTGTATTTTGTAAGTAGTTGCAGTGCTTGCTATTCTGCTGGAGATTTTTGTTTCTTTATTTTACAGGAAGTGATGCATGCCCTAAGACAGACTTGGCACACGAGTTGCTTTGTTTGTGCTGCTTGTAAGAAGCCATTTGGGAATAGTCTCTTTCACATGGAAGATGGAGAACCTTACTGTGAGAAAGGTACAGCAAGCTGGATGGTTCTGCTTAGCATTCGTGTGCTTTATGGTGTATGGAAGAAACATACAAATAAAGCAATTGCTGGACAAAATAAAACCAGTTACCCAACCAAGAATGTATTTTGTCTCCGCTGTCCACATCTAAAAATGTTTCCTTCTTGGTATTTTTTCTCCTTAATGATAGGTTGGCAGAGTGCTGGTCTTTTTGCCCCTATGTCCCAGATTGCCTGACTTCATTTATCTTCCTAACCTATTATAACAGTTAGCTCTAATTTCTCTCCCTTCACATTTGCTCCTGTCCCCATAACTTCCCTGATATCTTCTGCTCATTGAAAATCTTCCTGCTACTGTGATGAGAAACTCTCCTTCTGACAGTGCTTCTATACAGTATGTGTGGATTGCTGCCCAAATTCTCTACTAAATTGTTTGATGCTTCTATCCCAACCTAAAACTGATCAATATATGAAAAGATAGCTCTGCTCAGATGTGCAACACATGGTTGTGCAGATTTTGTTTTCTGAGTGCTGCTTCTTGCCAACTAAGAAAGGAAAAAGTCAGGATTTCCAAAAATACAGAAGAGGTAAATGTGGTGGCCTGACAAGGTCAGGATGCAGGCAATGGTTAAACTGGTATTTCCTCTGTAAGCCCGTCCTTGTCCTGTGAACGTGCTTCTGCCTTAGTTTTCTTTGGAAATGCAAAAATCAGATTTTCATATCGTAGTGAGAAAGAAAATCCTACAGCATGACTGACTTGATACCCTTTAAAATTGCAGTTTTCACCACGGCCTCTAATCATTTTCAATAATTCCATATATAGTTTGAGATTCTGCTAGGCTCTTTCAAGTTATTTGCAAGTTGGACTTGATATTCAAAATAGAGATGTATTATGCAGCAGTTAAGGGGTTTCTATAATATTCTTTGTTAATGCAGAAGAACCACAGTATTTCAACGTTAAATAAAATACTCATGGAAACTTAAAACTACGCTTCTAAACATAACTTTGAATGTGATGATTTTTTTAGTGCGTATTCTCTGTTCGTGATGACAACTTGTAGTACTGTACAGCCATAGGGCATTGCACTGAATTTGTATTTAAATAATGAGGAAAAAAAAAATGCAGTTCTAAAATTTCATTATGGGAGATATTCATTTTAATGAATATAGTAAGAAAATCTGAGCAAAAAATAATCAAAAAAGAATTTATCTTCTGGAAACTTTCTATTTCTTTTGGGTGTAATGTGATTATGTTAAGAGCTTGTTCTAAGTTTGCTTTTTTCTTATTTTAGATTACATTGCTTTGTTCAGCACAAAATGCCATGGCTGTGATTTTCCTGTTGAAGCTGGAGATAAATTCATTGAAGCCCTTGGACATACTTGGCATGATACCTGCTTCATTTGTGCTGTAGGTTCCATACCAAATACTATCTCATTTCTTTATGCTTTTATCATAAATTGTTAAGTAACACCAGCAGACCTGGAAGCAGAAATGACTAACATATGCCTTAGGATGCAGAGGGATTGAATTTCATTTCTTACTTACAGATGGAGAGGGATGAGAGTCATTTCTCTTCTCTGTAAACTTTTATTAGAATTAATAAATTTAATTAGCACAAGTGAATGCTCTTTAATAAATCATACAGTTCTAGAGTCTGTATGTATGATTATGTCTAGCACTATTTGCTATTCTAATATTTACTAGATAAATCAGGATTTAAAATAAATCAATGCAATTGAAGAGTACAGGCATAGTCTTACTTACAAAGCAGTGCAGTTTGCGTTTCCATTCAGAATTCTTACTGAAACTTGCAACTTGCAAAAAGGAATCTGTTTAAAGAGAATGAATAGTAATTAATGTAGAAGTTGGTCACACTCATCAGTTGTAGCGTGGCCATATTCCTACACTGCACAGAAAGTAGTTAAATGTGTATGATAAGCAGTACTTTTCATACGGTTCCAATACAGCTGTGCTGCTCCCCAACCTATTTTTCATAAGGTAATAAAAGAACCTCTAATTAGCTAAAAAAATAGTATGTTGGCCACACCAGAAGTGACAATTTCTAAGATCTGTTGAACTTTAATATTCAGGTTGAATAACAGAAAGTATAGAAATATTTATAAATATATTAGGCTAAACTGGCTACAACTGATCCCTTAAGTGTATGTGGAAGTGATCACCACAAAGGTGTTTTTCTATGCAAACTGAAATATCTTTGAAATTTGAACATAGAAAACAATACCACATTTTTCTTCACAAACCAACAGCTGTTTGTAACTTATAAAAGATACTTTCTCTGAATACTTCCTGTTCTTGTTTTCGCTTTTTCACTTAGCCGCATCCTTAAGTATTTATTTTATTAGCAACCCAATTTTGTGCAGAGGTGACATCCTTTTTGTTAATATATTTCTCTAAGCTGTTCTTGTAGAAGCTAATTTCATCTTTTTTTCAGTGAGCTAAAAGTCAAATGCAAGATCTTTTCTGATGTGCTTATCCTCATATCCATTCACACGGTTTTTCCTTCCCCATGTAGTAGCACATCACTGATGTTATCTCTCACTGGTCTTAAGCCTGCCATAAGCAGGGACAACAGTTATTAGATTCTAATGCACTGACTTCCTTTAGTGGTTTAGCTAACTGACCTCACGTGTTGTTGTGCTGCCCAGTGTGGATATCAGCACAATTCCAGAAGAGACAAAGCTGATCGAAATCTAGGCTACCTTGCCCTCAGCTATGCATTTTCACACACTTTGCTTTGTCAACGCTGGCACTTACGAAGCCAGGCAGTGAACTTAACTCACTGAAGAATAATCCACAATTTCAGTGGTATCAGCTGTCTGATTGAGTCATTCCTTGATCACAAAAACACCCAAGTAATGAGGGGAATGAGTATCTGGTGGTGCTGCAGCAGGAGGTAAACTTGGGACCATGCTCATGTAAAATCATGCATTGCAAGGATCAGAATCTAGGTCTTGAGGTTTGAGCCACCTGTATGTGTTTGAGTGTGCCACTAACCAAACCAAGACCTTAACTAACTCTCTCTCTCTCTCTCTCTCATTCTAGGTATGCCATGTGAATTTGGAAGGTCAACCATTCTACTCCAAGAAGGACAAGCCACTGTGCAAGAAGCATGCCCATGCCATCAATGTTTAAAAAAAGAGCTGGAAGTCAGTAATGCTGGGGAAACCTGATGACTAAATGAGCAAATATAAAGTTGATAACCATGGCTAGCATTTGTCTTGGTAGAAGCTATAAAGTTGATATTTCTAAAGTTTCATTTTAACCTTGTTTCTTAGAAGCAGAACATGCTTTTGCGTGGTTCATACAAAATAAACAATCAAAACCAAATTAAATACTCCATTTAAAAACAGATTATTAGTGCAGCAGTTTGGAGCAATACTGATTAAAACCTGTGATTTAAAATGTAATATGTAAATACAGTTTAAAATGAACTACCCACAGCAGTTTTACTGCTTAGACCACACACTAGTGTTTAAGAATAACAGGAAAAGTCCTGTTATTGTAATTGTAATAACTCACTCTCTTGTAATAGCTCATTTTCTTTCATAAAAAGAATGAGTAAGTGCTATACGAACAATAATCAGTAGAACCAAAGGGCACAGCTTTCAAAGGGAAATAAATAGGTTAGGGTTTCCTCTATGAAAAGTGTGTGCTATTCCTTTATGTTGTGGTGCTACCTCATAGCATCAAATATTTTAGATTCTTTCCAAATAAGAAGTTTGCCTTGAATCCCTATGTAGCTCTGAAGCCTAGGAGACAATGAGTAGCTTAGTTTGAGAATGGAGTGGAAATGGAATTAACTCCTTCCACGCCCAATAAGATTGAGGAAAGCATGTCAACCTTGCTACTGCACTTGGCTTATACGCGAGCAGTAGATACCTCACTTTCAAATCTTAATGGAAAAGGCTAACTGGCTTTGTCCAGCCTGCTCTTAAATTGAATGGAATCAGGCTGGCTGGAAAGGAACTGCGGCTATTAATTCAAAACCAGTTTGCCTTTCCTCTTGTGGAAAAAAAACCTAAACGTTACTTTGGTTTATAATGTCCATTGATATAAGTGGGAGGTGGGAACCCATTTCTGGATTTTTAACACTGATTAACAATGAAGACACATTTCTATCTAGTACAGCTAGAAAGTGGGAGATAGCTTGCAAATGTCGCCAAATCTATCCCACATACATAGAAAAAAGGCACCTTTATTTCTCCTGTAGAATGTAATCAATCAATGTTTTATCAGTGTAAATGAATGTTGATAAAAATTCATTGGGCAGCACAACACCACAGACAGATGCTTTTTATTGTTTTCCTCAGTTTAAATATAACGCGTTCTGCATCGTAGCATTTGCCATCGTAGGACAGCAGGCCTTGACATTTCATCATAGTCCTATTTTTAAATATTTTATAAAAAAACTTCGAAGTTGCTCAAACATTTATAAAACTGTTCTTTTTGTTTGGTTGGTTTGATTTTTTTTTGAAAGCAATACTTGTAGTACTAGCAGTGATTTTGAATTCCTAATTTTAAATATCTATTTGTATTGGAGGCAGCAGTTCTGTTGAATAGAAAATGGAGTTAAAATGGAAAGCCTAATCAATGTTCAAGTTTTATTAATTTGCTTAAATGAAAATTATTATGATTGTGTATTGACAGCTTGCAGTACTGACAGTTTTTAATTAGTATTTCTGAGGGTGAGAATGAGTTCTGTGGGCCACATTCTGGTGCTATCTGCACACTACTGTACCTTGTGTTTTGAGTAACCGGGAATGACTTGGCGTTGTCTGTCTTTTCCTTCCTATAGGTAATGCCAATTCTGAGAACATAGGTGTGTCTTTTTAGTGATGAAAAGCTATCCAAAGCTGTGGGGAGAAGCGCGGGGAGGAGGAAATAAAAGAAAAGGGGGGTTAATATGTGAGTTAAATTAGCTGCAGGCAGTCCACATCTTGGAAGAAAATAACAACCATAACTGCCTGTGGCAGTTCAGACATGTATGACCTGTGTTTGTTCAGCAGGTATCTTAGTTCTCACTGATCTTGGCAGGGATCTGATCTGAGTGCTTACAGGGTCAGATTTTGAATGCATTAGTTATTCTATAACACTACTTCATTATATGCAAAGCTTTTTTTTTTTTTTTTTTTTTTCTATAGGAAACAAATTTTCTGTTTTCAGTCAGTGCTGGGCTGATGTAAACATAGTTCCATTAATTACAAAACCCAGGTATTTGGCTCATGATATTCTCCAGAGGAATAAACTATAATCATGGAAGTTAAATATATTTTTACACATTTTTGATTCATTAAATACCTTTTTATAAGAGTAAGACAATTTTATATTTCCTTTTAATTTTTAAATGCATTGAAGATGCTCCTTGGGCAGACTTCTGTGTTACCCACTGACTGGGACTAGTCTCTTACTGTCAAGATCAGACTCTCCAAACAGGGAGTCTGTCTCTTTGGCACAACACAGACTGCTAGAGCATGTGACACCTCGGTAGAATGTCATGATCTAATCTATGTATTTATGTGTGTCTCTCCCTCCCGCTCCACCTTCTCTGTTCCTAAGAGCTCCCTCTTTGCTGGTACTATGAAGGATACAGCATTTTAGGAGATGGTCAGAGATGATTGGCTGCAGCTTAACCAGGGGTGTACAGTCTGTGCAAAGAATGTGATAGGCAGCCAGGCTGGAGCTGCTTCTTTCTTCTCCATATTCACAAGGGACCCCAAGATTGCCAGATGAAGTTGCTAAGGACTTCCCATCAGGAGCTCAGGTGGACAAGTATGGGATGTGGGAGGACTTCCATCAGGGGTCTCAGTGTGAGCAGGGGAAGAGAGGTTTGCATCAAAGAGGGCAGAGCACCTGCAGCATCCAGAATTTGGGGGGCTTGAGGGCCTCTGGTATTGTGTAGAAGGGTGAAGCACTGGGGAGGCAGGGGAAGCTGGGGCTGGGGGAAGGAGAGGAGCTAGGCAAGGCCAGTTGCACTAAGTTGATGTATTAGATACTTCGGTTGAGGCAGAGGGGGCAAGCAGAGAATAGCCAGCCCTGCTATGGTCAAGGAAATGGCTTGGCGCAGGAAATTGGGGTACAAAGAGCTGACAATAGTCCCAAGATATAGTATGAATGTATACAGAATGAGTGAGCAAGGAAGATCCAGGATCCTATCTAGTAGAAGTCAACGCTGCAGAAGGGTGAATGCAACATACATTAGGTATAGCTGAGCTAGCTTGTGCAGTGGCAACTGTGAAAATGCAGCAGTAGAGATTTCAGTGGGAGCTGTACTAACTTGAAGGGGTCCTGAAAGTTTCCTTGGACAGGTAATCTGCACTGTAACACATGCCCTGACTCCAGCTGGTGTCTGAGCAAGTGAGATTAAAACTAGTTTACATATCAGTTTATGAGGTACAGTGATATCTCTGAGTGAAAAACAGAGATACCCTGAGGATTATCATGTAATAAATTTCCTGTTTTGACTTGTGCTGCTTCATAATATGGTCCAAAAGTAGGGAATCCACTTACCTGCCCTTACATAATTTTTGCACATATCTGAACCAGAAATTTGTGAATGGTAATGTAGAATTTTAACTTTCACGGGGATAGAATCCCACGTAACTGCTGATACTCTTCTGCCATATGTCACCTTTGTGATATGGAGGAAAAGATGCATAGTTATATGATTCAGAACAGGGCCCTTCAACTATCACTGAACATAAATGCTATACAAAAATAGTGTTTGCAGGATGAATAATGTGCACTTGTTTATGTTTTATGTCTTGTAACCGATGCCTGGGATAAGTCATAAGTTCCTCTAAATATTTATATGAATTAACATGGGACTTTACGTAATAAAACAAAGATCCTGTACCTCTGAATGACCAAATAAGAATGCCGGTATTTTATCTAATAAGGTGTTCAGCATCTTTTCAGTCAATGGCTTTGAAAATGACCTTAATGCTTTTTCTCTTTTTCCACTCTTTTTGCATAAGAGAGTAAAGATTACCAAAGAAGGCTTTGTTTTTATTATCTGAAAAGAAAACCACTGATTAGACTTATTTTTTCTAGGTTAATTTGTAATGTACTGGATTCACATATTGCAACTTTAAACGAGGAAAAATATTTTACTTTGGTCCTTCAGTGGTCAGTACTTTGGGTGAAATGTTTTCTTAAAGACATATTTATGTTTAATAATGTGAACATCCACAGCACTGAACACACTCGTTAGTGTCTAATGCTGGGAATGCTAGTGTTTATTTGTAATACTTGTCTCCAGGTAGCAGATATTAATTTGTTTAGTATTTACAAACATCAGAATTTGAAACTGAGTGATTTCTTGTCTGCAGTGATCATAGAAGCCTAGGTTTTATAATATATTTACATGTTGACTTGATGCCACAAGTGCCCTTGCTTTTAGCTACATATTTTTCTGAAGTTCTTAGTTAGTTCAGGTCAGAATGCAGCATGGTTTATGAGGTGTGAGTAACTGTACCTTGCATGGATTACCTGTGCCAACATGGATAAAACAGTCCAGTAATAAAATGAATGTACAAATACACTTAAAGCTTTACAATTTGGACATATTTGTTAATATGGCATGTGAACAGCTGACAGCATACACAAGCTTGTATTCTCTACTTCAAACCTGAAAATAAAATTAGAAGCGTTGGTTTCAACCTTGTTGTGTATCAGTCTTGAATGTTTTATTTGCTAAATTGTGCTATTTTAAACAAACGTTAGTATGCTTAAAAGATGCAGTGTACTAAGAGTACATGTTGTAACTTAGCAAGACTTGTATACTCAGAGACCTTATCGTGTCAACAAATGCTGTTTATAGCAAGTTTACAAGGAATGGGTAAATTCTGTCTTGGCTTACGTGGATGAATCTGAGAACGAAGTTTGATTGCATGAGTTCTGGTGGATGTTTTTCCATTTCTTAGCAGAAGTGACTTTAAATAGTATACAAAGTGTTCTAAATGTTCTCGTTGAACTCTAGTGCCAAGAAAGTCCTTCCAAATGAAAGGGTATCTTCATATAGCAGCATGACTTATTAAAACAGCCATTTTGTGCATTCCTAATCCACACCCCTCAGGCATGCAGTATTTTAAAAGATACAACTAATTACATGAAACATAATTAAGAATTTAGATAATAAATGGACAAACTTGGCTTTAGATGGCATTACAAAGTACAGTATCAGGAATTGCAAATTTGTGAACTTTGGTTTTATTTTACAGCCCTAATTTGTTTACAGTGTGCATAAGGAAAAACACAATTCAGAAGAATGAACAGAATGTACGCAGATTGCTGTTAATTTTGAATTGCTCTTTTTCCAGATTGCCTGTGCTGACCTTTAAACTTTGCACTAGACAGTTGTACCATGATCCCTGGAGAGCTGAGCGGTACTGGGGGGAAGCATAGAGGTACAACACTCTGCCAGTTAATAGGGTGCAGAAAGTGAATAGAGCAAAGTTCATTAGAGAAACACATGGTGCAAAACAGCTTGATAAGCGTTGCGTTAAGAGGTTCTTCGTAGAAGAGAGGAGATCATTATTTGCTCTGAAGAAAATGGTGATTTCAAGACTATAGGCTTCGGCGTTGCTTTTTCCCCTAATCGTGAATCTTTAATTCTGCCAGTTTCTGTTGATTAAAAAAGAAAGGAATGCGTGAATAAGATTGCCGAAGCCATTATTGAATACACAAAGAAATGCTTTGTTCTCTCAGCCAAATTGCAGAGTTATGGATGAGATTCAGATTATATTCAAGCACAGATTTTGTGCTGTATGCATATAAAAAGCTGTTAAAAATACAGTTTCTTCTCTCTTAGGAAGACTTTATCAAAGTATAGCAGTAACAAATGTGTGTCGTATTAATAAGCACTGTTGGGCTGATTTGCAAGACTTTTTTGTGTAAAAAGAATAACCTAAATTATTTTTTTCACCTCAAAAATAACCTTTTGAACAAAACTTGTTTGTTCTTTTAAAAGTTTACACATTTTAGCTGCGAGGAAATAATAAATATGCATAAAATGGAATGTATAAAATATTTTATAGATGAATTATCTTATTACTTCAGAATTAAGATTACTTTCCTTAATGACAAAGATGATCAGGAAATTTTGCTTCTGCTTAGTTTTACCATGTGCAGCGTTAATGAAACAGAGCTCAGGTCTTTCTGAGTTAATTCAGAAGGGACTTTCTGAATGAAGTCCTTTCAATATTTGTGTAATGTATACATGTTTATACCAGAAAGCTAGGGGGCTTGCTGTTCTTCTGGAATGTTTTATTCTTACAGTGCATTATAGCAGACACTCTGGATTTTTAGAAAGCTTAATATCTATATTTATAATCTCAGAGGCTCGCATTTGAGAAGAAATAATTATTTACAGGATTTATTAATTTTAAGATATAATAATACATAGACTGCAATGATAATGTTGGGACCAAGGTTTAGCTTGGTTTAAAGAAATGTTAATCATGATGGAACATGACAATAGAATCATAGAATAGAATCATAGAATCATAGAATTGCTCCGGTTGGAAAAGATCTTAAAGATCATCAAGTCCAACCACAGCCTAACCACTCTACCCTAACTCTAACAACCCCCCACTAAATCATGTCCCTGAGCACCACATCCACCTCCCTGGTAAGTCTATTCCAGTGCTTAACAACTCTTTCTGTAAAGAAGTTTTTCCTGATATCCAACCTAAACCTCCCCCGGTACAACTTGAGGCCATTAAGGTAGTGTAATAAGCATTAAACTGAGCGTACTCAGAGGTTTCGTTTCTGTTATCAGTTATTTGTGACTTACAGGAGAGCTTCTCTTTATTTGCCGTAGTATGGAAGATGTGGGAAGACAAAGAAGGGAGCATTTTCAAAAATTTAGCTTCGTATAAAAAAACCCCAACACTTCAGACCACAAAACTTTGTTTCCGCATTATAAACAAAGACCAACCATATTATTTCCCAACCAAATACTGTTCTGCACTACCTAATGCCACTGGTAGGCCTGCATCTTTGATAAGCTATTTTCTTCCTGGATATTCCTCCCTGTGCTGATTCTGAGGATGTCGTAAATTTGCCTATGCTTTCTGCATGTGGGGAAGCCTGAACTGAGTTACT